GCAGCCAGACCTGCCCGCAGCAGGTTGGGAGCCTGCAGCTCGTGCTGGGGGAAGCAGAGCACRAGCTGCCCCTGCTGTCCCTCCTGCCAAGGGCCGTGGCCACATCATCAGCTCACCTCCAGCACCCACAAGATGCTGCTGGACACACTGTAGTTGCCATTTGGTCCCCACCAGGCACAACTGGCCAGTTGTGCCCAAGGGAAAGATAGATGGATGGATGGATGGATGGATGGATAGATAGATCCCACTAGTTCCACAGGCTGCCATGCTGAAAGGGAAATCAGGCAACGTTTTTATTTAATATCAACTGCACACTCAGGACAGCACTGGCTTTGGTGTCCAACAGCTGGCATCCATCTCTACAGGCATTTTTCCTCTTTCAGCATATCTTCCCCTTCAGGCCACAGGCAAAGTGTGTTTGCCACACACCCCCAGCTCCTCTCCTTGTTGCACAGGAATGCATTTTCCAAGTGGGAATGATAGGCCCTATTATAATGTGAAAAAGTTGTTCTCAGAGCGTTACCACCTGTACCTGATTACGCAGGAGAATCAGCACCATGCCACGATCATCTGCAGACACTCAGCCTGCATGGTGCTTGGTAGGAGCCSGTTCCTGGCTCCAAGATGCACTCTGCAAACAGCGTGAAAACTTTTTGAGTACATGATGCAGAGGGAGCAGCTCTGCTTTTCTGAGAGCCTTAAGGTTCACAGTAACCTTAAGCCTTGCCTTAGTCAAGGCAGTGTTTTCAGTACMTCGTTAATGTCTTCACTGGCTCTCCGGTTGCTCTGGACAGAGAGAGCACAACAATATTATCGAATACACCAGCAAACCCCTTGTCTCTTGAGAAATAGTCTTCCACAGCATAGCTATTGCTCCAGGCTTTGCTTGAGAAGATCCCTCTGGAGCATCTCAGCCCCATGGTAGTCCAGGTCAGTTGGACTTTGTCCCRGAAGAGCCACGCAGCTACAGCTGGTGGCCTGAGAACTGCTACACATCATTACATGCTTTGGGGGTACTCAGAGCAGCTTTGGGGTCCCTCAATCTGCAGTTACACAGGCTGCTAGGCTTGAAAGATGCTAACGCAGCTTAAACAAGGAAACACTGCATGCACTGAGATGGACAGCACTAGATACTTTAATAGCCCAAAGGACTTGTATAAAGCCAATAAGTCTTCCCCTAAATGAAAAAAAAAAAAAAAAAAAAAGAGAGAGAGAGAAAGGTTGAAATGTCAAATTCCTGTGGGAGAGGAGCTAACTTTGCTAACTCGGACCCTTATCTCCGCGGCCACAAAGCACAGACTGCAGCACGTGGAGCTCCGATTCCCAACCCACGTGAATCACCGCGAGGCAGAGCYGTCCAGCCCAGCTCCCCGGATCGGTACCACCACCGAAGATCATGGCTCTCCACCCCGCAGGGTCCTTTGGAAGCCCCTTCCTGCATGAGCTCYCCAGCAAAATGATGCAGCTCCATAAATCACCTGGGTCCAAACCCGGTGCTGCTTCCTCCACGCCAAGAACTTCTGGACAAAGCCAGAAGTTTTACAAAAGTTTTACAAAGAGGATTGCTTTAATTCCAGACCAGCAGTTTCTCTGGGGATGTAGCTCCACTTTATGGGTAGCCTCTTGGCTATTTTGGCCATGCCACGTCTATCTTTACTAAAGCAGGGTTAAATGTTTTGCTGACTGTGCATATTTATCTGCTGCTTTAAATTTTCTGCTGATTTAAGTGATCGCAACTGAGTTTTCCATAACATTTTCACCCAAGAAATCAGAAAGCAATATCTGCTGCCACTAAAATGCCACAATCTTGTTAAACTTCTGCTCCTCCAGGATCTGCATCTGTCACACAACACTCACCTTTGCTAGAAACCTGGCAGAAAAAGGTGCACCAGGTAAGGCCATGGACAGAAAAAGCTGGGAAGAAGAATATGAAAGATTATGAGATTATGAAAGCTCAGAAACTGAACGAGACAGTAAATCTTAAGCTGAATCGGGACCAGTTCAAACTACTTGACAACAAGCAATACCAATTTCTAAATAAATGACAGTTGTTAGTGGATTTGCCCCCTTTTTGGCTAAGCAATAATGGAATCTAGTTCAAATATTGATCCACAAAACAACTTGCTCGTCCTGAGTAAATGTGAACATGTTTTGCTGGGAGGCTAAAACTGAATTATCCCATTACTTTCCTTACAACCCCCTTTTCCCCAGTCTTGGCTGACATTTACCCTTAAAGAGGAAGCAAAAGTAATTGCTCTAAACAATAGGCTTGCTAGACATCATCTAAGCTTTGGAGCAGGAGATTCAGATTTCTTTGCTGAACTTCCTTGCCAAACCAGGCTTACAGTTACTTACTGCTCCTAGGTTTATATTTTGCTTTTTTTTTCCAGTTATGGTTACCAAATCCTGTCATTTATTTGCATGGAAATAAATCCAAACTTTCCTTAAGTTGGTAAAAGTCTTTTTTTGTTGTTGTTTTTTCCATGAATGATAGCTATTTAATTCTACAAGCCCACCAGGAAAGTCCATCATCAGTTATAAAACCCTGAGTCGCGATGACCCAGGTGTCTTGGGAGTATCTTTTGCTCAAGAGCTCATTCCAGGCACTGCCAAGGCCAGCTCTCTGCACAACATTCCTCACCCTTCATTTGTTTTTATATAGATGTGATTTCTTAGGGAACACATTGGTGCCACAGAAGAGCGCTGTCAATGAACCCTTGCAGTCATAACATTCCCCAAAGCACAGGGAACATTGGCACGATATTTCCCTGCTCGAGAGGTCCAGGCGAGGATGTGTAGACAGCAGCACGAGAGGACATGCACAGACCATCACAGCCCCATCCTTACAGGGTGTCTGGGATTGCTGCAACACCATCAGCTCCTGCAGCAGCCAAGGAATAATGTCAGAGGAGGCAGCACGTGATAACGGGCTTATCTGCAAAACCTGGGAGCCACCAGCTCTCCTGGGAGCACCATCAGCCAGGCAGGCTGCAAAAAGCTGTCCTACAACATTGCTCCTAATGCTTTCCAAAATACTAGTTTTTTTTTTTAGCCCAGATTCAAAACAGCTCCCATATCTCTTATTGCCTGCCAGACCTGGTGAGGAAATAGCAGGTCTGCCCCAGAGGACACTGCTGTTCTTCTCCAGGGGAAGTCTTGGAAAAGTCTTCCAGCACCATGTACCTGGGGAAGGGCCAGCAGGTTGAGAGAGTTAGAGAGGAAAAAGAGGGTCGTGGCTTGTGGTGATCTATAATGATCTGCAAATGAGCGTGTGCAAATAAGGAGCAGTATTTACAAGCTKCTAAAGTGAGGCCCAGGTGCTGGTGAGGTGGTTGCTATTTCTCTGTATTAGTGCCTGGTCTTGTTCTATCTTCTTGCAGCAGGTTGCTGAACAGGTAGGGGGGCTGAGAACCCCTTTGGGGGCTCTTCAGCCTGTATCCTGAGCTACTGGGGAGCCTGCAAGAGTGGAGAAGCTCCYGACAGAGGGCTTAGCTCTGGTTTAGCAGAGTTGGTGGAAGGGCTTCATCCTGTGCTCCCCATGGAGACCATCATGGGGAGGCCAGAGGTTCTCCTTTGGGACTCTGCATTGCCTTGAGTCCAGGGCAAAGTGCCTCTATCAGCTCATGGATGGCACCTGGAAGAGGTTTGACTCTATATGGAAGATAAAACAGCTGCCATCAAAGGGAAAATGTGGGTATAACTTGCCTTTGAATTAATTATGACCTATACTCATTAGGTTGCATATAGCCCAGGAGTATCCAGCGGGATCCGTGGCCGTGGTGCATGGGCAGACAGGGAGCTGTCAGGAGACAGACTGTGGCTTGGGCATCCTTGGAATAACTTGGGCTATTTCAGGATGATCATAGGCAAGCAAAAGCACCCAAAGAAGTTATACCTCTGCTTTGACGTCCTTTGGCTATTTTTGTTGCATCCTTCTCTCCAGGACACATCAGAGGTAGCTCCTGGCACTCCTGTCTCCTCTAAGCTGATATAACGTGGGGTCACTCTGAGCACTGCTGAGCCTAAATAAAAGGCAGCCAGGACAGACTTAGACTCTCTGTTTTTATGATGACGTGGAAAACTATAGGTTACTGTTGTTCCATTGCTCAAAATGTCAGACTTTGAGATTTTTTTTTCCTTAACACATTTGGAGTTTGGCTCCTGTGTCCCTATTTAGCCACCTGCACAAGTTTTAAGAGTACCAAACACCCAGAATCTCCCCCCAGGTTCAGACAGGATGTTTTTGAGGTCAAGAGAGCAACAAGKTATTATATAAAAATATATATGTATGYGTAAAATATATTTATATGTGTGTATATTCATAAACAGGCTAACTATAGATGAGAATTTAACTCTTTAATCATTCCGGCTATAGTATAAGGGTAGCTTGCAGTTTTCTTTGGAAAATTGTTAGGATGTTTTTCAGCTCTCCAGCTGGAGTYGTGTTACTTGCATCCTGGACTGCTTTTCCCCCCCTTAAAGGGGTTTGGAGAGGACAAAGAAAACTGAGCTAAAGAATTTATTTCATAGTGTAAAAACATTTTTTTTGTATCTACATCTTAAGGGAAATATTTTAGCACAGTGTGCAGGTAGATCTTTGCATTTAATACTATTATAATTTAGTCAGTGTAAGTCTGTATAACATACAAAATTAATACTGTCTTTATGCCTTTGCTGTCACAGCATTCATCCCAAGCCTCTGAGTGCTAAAACACTTCTGCCTTTTCCYGGGAAGATTCCGGGCAGGTCCATCGGATATAAATCACAGCAGTGGAAACAGTCTGGCCGCCGTGAGCCCAGAGCTGTGCCCAGCGCTTGGAGCCTCATCCGCCACATCAGCATCCACATCAGCATCCCAGTTCCGATGGAAAAACTAACGCTGCCGTGGGTGAGCAGCAGCCTTAGGCTCTCGTGGAGCCCGGAGCTCAGGGATGCTCGTGGCTGCTGTGTGCATCCCCTGAGGCTGAGCATCCTTCAGCCGCCTCCTCATCCTCCACAGTGGGGGAGAATCCAAGGGTGACGCTGCCCTCCTTGCAGACTCGCTCCTCGGAGCACGTTGCAGCCAGCCAGCACGTTGCTGCCTCTTTAATCTCTGCTGCTGACATCTCTTGTGCTTCTTCAGAAGGCCTCATAGCTACTGCATTAAGTCAGTGTAAGATCCGATTTTTCAAGAGCTGTGTTTGGCCACGAGGAATCGTATTACTGAGATCCAAGATAGACACCAAATATTCATCTCTACCAATTAATCCCTGGCCCACGGTGCAGATCCAGGGAAGAGCGTCACTGTGAGCCAGCACATGAGAGACATTTTCCAGAGGATGTGGCTAGAGGAGAAATTCAGAGCTGTGGAGCAGAAGCGCAGCTGCGTGTTGCTGCAGAGGCTGCAGCKTTTTGCAATAGGATGTGAATGATTTTCTCCCCCTTGTACCGTTTCACCCCAGCTTTGCTCTGCCCTATCGCGYATTTGTGCTTTGGGCACGAGGAATCATGAATTTCCAGCAAAAACTCTGCTGGCAAAACCACCTTGGAAACATTATTGGATAATTCTCTCGCCAGCTCTTCATGATGTGCTCCAGCTTTATAAATCACACAGGGCCTGTTGGAAATGGGCTCTGGAGCAACTCCAGAATTTCTGGGACCTTCTGATGAACACAGTGAGGTTTGCCCACTTTTTTTTTTATTTTTTTATTTTTATGTGACACATTTTTACCCACAGGTAGATGCTACCTGCATGGACTGGTACCATAAACCCGCCTGTGCCAATTTGGCTCCTGAGAAGTGTTTGTGCCCAATATTTATGTGCACAATGTMATCGGTGCCAGAGAATCCAGATCAGCCCAGGAGCTCTTCCTCACACTGAGGCGTGTGAGGAAAAGCACCATTAATATCAATAATAATAAATCACACAAGTGCCATTGCAGCTAAAAGGAGACTGCTGAAAGGCAAGAACTCCCCATCTGAGCCACATAGGCAGCGTTGCTCTGGGCTTGTGCTGTGCACATGGGTGTATTCCTAGGAGAAGGAAGGGATGCAGGATGATATCTCTTGGAAGATGTTAATACAGASAGTACAACCTCATGGAGCAGCTCCTGCACTCAACCTGTCACCTCTGCTGCAGTATATTTTGCAAAAGGCTGTGTTCTCAATAGCACCTTGAAGTTATAGGGAAATATATTTTTGTTCTGAATTGTTTCACTCATTAATTCCATTACTAGCTCTTTGCCTCTTAACTTTAATTTGTTCATCTTAGGCCAATCTAAGAAGAGTTTGTAAAGACATCCTTGTAGGCTGTGGTCAAGTCCTATTCGTTCCTCCTCTTGGACAGACAGACTGCTCAGCTTCATGTTCTCCCTGAAGTGTATTTGGAGATTGCAGGTGACTTCTGTGGCTCTTTCAAGCATTCAGCATTCTGGAATACGCTTGCACCAGAATAGAAGGAGCCAGATTTAGTTTGCCCGGGTCTCCGCTTCCTATCCCTCAGCTCTGTAGAGCAAACAYCTGCTTCAAACAAGGGACATCTCTGCAGGAGTGGTAAGTTCAAGTCACCATGAATTAACTTGTGTAAGAAAATAGTCTGATCATGGTTGGATTGACATATATGACTAGCAGAGTAATTTTTATTTTTGAAGGTCTTTCCACTAAAAGCAAAAGGGGAAAGACCATTTGAAACTAAGACCTGGGGCACAATGCTCAAGTCTTAAATCACCTGAAGACCAGGTCTAGACTTGCAGCAGCCTTGCAAGGATGCCTGGAAAGCAGCGTGCTCTCAAACCAGAACAAATGCCCTGCTGCCGATGGTGTGGTTGTGACTCTCTGCTTTGGTCTTATTACCTAGGGAAATATTCTGGAACAATGAGGTTATCCGGGTCTAACAACTCGTGTGCTGCCGGCACCATCCGTCAGCTCCTCTGTCACTCGCCTGCTTTACTAATAGCCCTTCTCAATTATGCATGTGATGGAGCTGGCGAGGCAGCCAGCACCAACCTAGCAGGCCATGAAATAAAGGTCTGGGCAAGGGAGAACTCAATGTCTTGCGTTGGTTGGAGACATATGTGGTCCTTCCCAAAAGGGCCTCTCTTCCTTTGAGAGAAATAGAAACTAGTCGAGAGATTGATGAGGTTCAGAAAATAGTTCCCCAGCTCTGGAGGAGGTTCTGATGGGCTTTTAGATGAGGATCTAAAGTTAAAATGTCTCTTCTTTTGCTGTGTCTAGGACATGGAGCCCAAACTTAGGGCATTGAGAACCCCCTATGCAGCCCTTGCAGAAGGGCTTTGCCCAGCAGAGATTCTCCCTCTTGCAGATGCCAAGGTGCAATACGCCCGTGAGAACCTCATGCTCAAACCTASACCCAAATTTGTAAATTAGACATTATGTCCAGCAGGATTTATAGCAGCCTGAAAGAGCTGGGAAGGGAGCAAGCATGTGCTCCTGCTAGCTGYACAGAGTGCAATGGGAGTAGAAAAAAAGGGGATGTTTTCATTATATTGAGCTGCATGTATACATATTGAGCTCATATAGCAAAGAGCACTGCTCATAATTCATTTTTCTTTTCTCCCTCCCCCAGCACAGACTGTTCACAGCCTGTCCTCAGACTATCAGTCACCCAAGTGTCCTTGATGGTTTCTAATCACCTCYGGCGGCACAGGTGGGTCTAGCAGTGGCCGTGGGATGCACTGCCTTGATCCTTGGGAACATGGGCCCTTCTTGATGAGAAATGCTCTTTGCAGCAGCCAGCCACATGCTTACAGTTTCACTTTAGAAGATGCAGCTGGATGATGCTGTGGTACCTCCTGGAAGGGGTTCCCTGGGGTAAACCAGTGATGTTCGGTTGCCTCGAGTTTTGCTCAGCAGATGAATCCTTGGCCTTTCTTGCACTTCGAGACTGCAGAGAGCCTCCAGGCCTGATGACATGGAGATATTTTGCTCAGCCAGCACTGAATCTTGCCTTGAAAAGTGTCGTAGCAAATGGGAGAGCTGTTGGAAAGGTGTGATGCCTGGAGGAAATCCAGTCGATTCAGTAATGAATTGCGGCTAATGCAATTTTCAACTGCATTTTGGAGGGATCTGGGAATTTGTCGGGGCGGGGAGCAGGTCGTACAACTTCAGTCTCCCACAGTGTAGGAGCAATTGGGTTGTCCTAGCGCTGCAAAGCATTCACTTGATATGTTACGTTCAGCTAAGGACGTCACCCTGTCTCATTTGATTTGTGCAAACCTTGATGCGAGAGGCGTTTTTGCAAGTGCTAATGTTTGCAGCAGCTGACAAACTGGGGCATGGGAGAGACGGAAGGGATGCCTGTTATCAAATGTCTCTTGGTGTATGTATATATCTATATCTATATATATAAATATATAGATATATAGGTGGATAGATCATACATAGACAAGGGATGAGGTCTCTGGCCTTGGCTCCACTCTTGCAAGCCTCTGTATCCTGGAGAAGGGCTGGGCCAAGCAGGCAGATAGCAAACATCTTGCTATCTCCAATACGTGCTGGCTTCCCACTGAACGGTTACCGGCAGCAGGTCCATCAGTTAGACACGTTCTTCTGCGCGGGACTTGCAGGCAGAGGGAAACTGGCCTTACGTGGCCTGGCAAATGGTTTGCAATGAATAATTCAGCTGACCAGAGTGCACTTGCTAATAAAAGAGGATGGGAAATGAGCTGCGTTGGGGGCAGCACCACGTTGTGAAGGCGACTTGAAAGTGAGAGCAAGAAGCAGAGTGCTTTGCTGCTTCTCTCCTGCATTAAGGTCCAGGGGAAGCGCCAGGCTTTGCACGAAGGCATTGAGATTTTTCATTGCCCGCTTCTATTTGGTTGTGCGAGCAAGCCAGCACCATGCTGTGAGTGATGGGATGCCGTTTTTAAGGGAATGCTGCTATTTGCATTGCAGTTTGGAGCCTGTGCTTTGAGGAGAAGGATTTGATGTGCACCCCTGTGCAATGGAAAATGAAGTGGGGCAGCCCTGTGTGCTCTGCAGCCAAGTTCTTGGTTCCCTATCGGAGCCTTAATCATTTTATCTGCTCCACGGGCACAAGGGGTATCGACATCCTTGCTCGAGTGTTTGAGACCGACTGGGGAAATCCCAGTGATAAGATGGAGGGGCTGTTGAAAACAGTTAAAATTCCTCTCTGTTTTCCTTGTGCTGGTGCTCAGCATCCAGGTGCTCCAGAGAGGGGCTTGAGCTGCCTATGTGCAAGTCGGTGCAGGGAAGCAAACAGAAATTACATTGCCCAGGGGTCAGGGAGGAAGCATGGAGTGTAGCAGTGCTGCAAAGGGCAGCTTTTCCCCCATTCCTCTTCCCTGCTGCTGTTGCACGTTGCTGGTGTCCAGGCAGGCACATGGGGATCAAGGTGACCTGGCGGAACAAGGTTTTGAGCTGGATTTACGCTCCTCATTTGGCCTCTGCTTCCTCCATCACCATTAAAGTTAAGSGACCGGTGAGGGTGTCACTGAAGCAAGGAGCTGTCAGCAGCTATTACAGCCAAGGAAACTCCATAACTTCCTCCAGAGGCGGCACTGGGACGGAGACAGGGGCCAACATTGCCCTTGGAGCCCAAATTGCTCAACGGGTGCCATGGCTTTTCCTCTCGCCTTTCCCAGCTCCGCACTGGGACTAATTTGAGGAGGATGTGAATGCATTTTGCAGTGGTGGCCATGGRCCCTGGAGGAGAAGCAGGATGGGGGGAAAGGAACAGGGCTCCTTTGCAAGCCACAGGAACCTAAATACCATTATGGATCCGTCTATGAGCTGCTGATGCAAATGCCTTGAAAGTTATGGCAGTGAGGACATGTGCAAAGAACCGGCCAGGGGCAAAGTACATKAGGGCTTTTTAAGCACACAGAATTTGCCCATTTTGCAGGATTAGTGAAATTCTGGGTTTTCATCGCAACTTTTTGACTTTGTTYGGCCAAACAGAGCAGATTGCATTAGAGCCAGTCCAGAGACCTGGAGGAAAGCAGGCCGCCTTTTTGGGCTTTCTCTACAATTTAATTTCCAATTTGCCAAAAATTATGGCCAYTCTAACAAGATCAACAAGAGCCAAAGGATGTTCATGAAAATACGAAGTTACTGCAAGGTTTTGACAAGGAGCTGAACATCTCAAGAGTGGGCCCAGGTCTGTAAACAACAGCTGATTTCTGCATATATCCATGAAGATCCCTGTCATATTTTTCTCATCTCTTTCTGCTCTTGGCTCCCCTTTTACACATACTGGTAATTCTGGGTGAAGAACTCCTTTATTCCCCCTCCATGAAAGTTCATGAAGTTGCAAGGAGGTAGCTGGACCCTGGGACCACTTTGCCTGCTCTGGGGCCAACAGAGCCCAATTCCCTGGACCCGGAGCAGGCAGCACGTGTGCTCCAAGCTGCGTGTTCCCATGCAGACTTATCTCCAGCTCAAGCAGGGCTGTTGCCCCGCAGTTCTGCCTGGTTATCTGCTGCTTTCCCTTTGCCAGCTGCTCTCCTGGCCGTTGTTTCCCCCCATTATCTCATCAGGCCACTCGTCTGCTGGAACCAGGCTGGGTTTTCCTGCTCATCTCAGCCCCACAATGTCCTGTCTCCCCAGCTTGGTCCTGGGGACCGGTATCTTCAGGAGGATAGTTACCACCTTGTGCCTCCTTCCATGGTCATGCTCCTGGAGCCAAAGGTCCTCAGTGAGCCATCTCCCCTTCCAACCACCCCCAAATATCCACAGAGCTCCAGGAAAACATTAAGAGACACCAACTGGAGAAGCTTTGCCAAGCAGGCGTGACTTTGAGCATCACTATTCAGCAGCCTTCTGAAATGCAGCGTTTTGGTGCATTCTGCTCCAGGAATAGGAGGAAACCTCAGCAGCACAGCTGGGCTAAACAACTGCGGACAAAACACAACCAGATTTCCCGGGTATAGTACGTGTGTCCTGCTCCTCTGGATATGTGTATCCTGCTCCTCTGGCTGGTTTCTAAACACTGAGCACAGGCAGCATCAATTGACATCTCATAAACTATTGAAAAGGGAGGGGAGGCTCTTTCTGCAGTCTAAGAATACAAACTGTCTGGAGAAAACATGAAGGGAGAGATTTAATTTTGAGCTTAGCATTAGTGGAAGGATTTAGGCAGTTGGGTACATTTAAGAATGCCTTGGCCTCTCATTTCTTTGCTTTTCCTGGAATATCTATTAGAGCACAGCTCTGCAAAGTTTTATTGCAAACATGCAAATAGCCCTAGCATAGAAATACTCTGTAAATTCTTTTAAGAGGAAAAAACAGCTGCAGATTTGGGAGGGAGTCTTCTCTCAGCTTTCTTTCCTCCTGCCATGTGGTGAAAACTTTATTTATTTATTTATTTTTAATGCATCCCAAATTAAAACAATCCTGAGTATCCACAGAGCTCCTGAATTCTCTGTTATGTTAGACTTTAGCTAGGGAAATCATCCACCTTCTTATGAATGTACCACCACCAAGACATAAAAGACACTGCAGAAACTACTGATGACTGAGAAATCACTGTGACAGTGAGAAAGTCCCGGTAGCATCGGCGGCTTCTTTCAAATTTCGGGATCAGTAAAAGTAAAGGGAATTTTGGAGGAGCGTTTACTGATGCCTCTCTGAGTAAGGCTTCATAAAGAGCAGAGGGGAAAAAAGTATGCGTTGGAGCGGGGCCAAATGAGCAGTGCGAATATTTGTGGTGGGACTGGGCTCGGGAGAGGCGGGTGTTGAGGCTGGACACCACTCTCTGTCCTCCAGAGAGGGGAATTTCTCCAACGTGGGCTTGTTGCTGTTCCCAGCTTGGCTCCAGGCATCTTTTTCCATCGCAGTGTCTGATCCAGGGTATTTTATTCCTACCAGGGATGAGTCTTGCTTGGCTTTCCCTGGGGAGGCCGGGCCATCCGTGATGATCGGATGRTCAGGAGGGGTCTTCACCGCTTGAAGCGAGAGCTCAGTGACTTCTGGCAGCTTCTCGCCTCTCGCCGGGATCTTCCTGCCAGCAGGGTTGTTTATTGGGATATTTGTGGAAGGTGAATCATGGCGAAGGAATCACGGAGGCAGCTGAAAGGGGCTGCTGCCTGGTGCTGCTCCCGGCAGCTCTTGCCAGGAGGACACCGCGGCGATGGAGACCGGGAGGCTTGCAGAGGGACCATGCTGTCACTTCTCCATCCCATGAGGTTGGTTTTCCCGGCTGGACTGGGTAACACGACACTTGGTATTTAAAAGGAAACTGCCAGTGTGGTGTAAATGAAACAAAACAAAAGAAGGAATGGAAAAAAAAAAAAAAAAAAAAGAGAAAAGAAATGCCATGACTGGTGTGATACCTTCGGTACCAATGGCCTGGGAATTACGTGGCATTTCTGCTAGATGTGGGGTGGGAAGGGACCCCTGGAGACCATCTCCTCCAACCTCCCTGCTCAAGCAGGATCACCTTGAGCACCCGGAGCATCTCCAGAGGCCTTTGAGCACCCCCAAGGCTGGGAAACCTAGAGCTTCGGTGGCTGCCAGAAAGAGAGCACACTGGCCTCCCTTGCCCTGCAACCAGGACAGCTCTGACCACGCTGTGGAAGATCCATGTTAACAGACCTCCATGGAAAGGAGGGATGACTGAAGAACGCAATCGTCTCTAAGTCTTCTATTTTCCCCTTTCTTTCACCTCCTGACTCCAGT